AAATCTCTGACATGGTCTTGATTTGTTTATGAATATCTTTTCGGAAGAGAAGTTTATTAAATATACTATATTTATAAAATCTAATTATAGCAGTTAACTAGATTGCCAGCAATGTGAAACATTAGAGTGATATTATTTTATCGGATATCATGGTCGATATTATGATTGATAAATACTTTACTTAAAAGAAAATTAAAAAAAAAAGTGAACAGCTTAAAGCAAATTTTGTCCAAATAACTTTCTAAATCATTGAACAGTGACACTATAAAAATATTTTCAAAAATTCTATAAAATGTCAGATTAACAATGCTACTAAAATATTTTAAATCCATTATATATTTTGAGAAATAATGTATGCTAATTAGTTACATAATTTTAGATACAAAATATTTTTAATTTTTTAAACAAAAATATAAGAAGAATGAAAAAGTTAACATAAATCAAGAGAAATAAGAAAAAAGGAAATAATGTAATAGTAATAACCATATTATAAAATAATGTATTAAATATAACTTTGATTAGCATTTTGTGTATGTATGTATGTGTGTTTTTGGAGATTGAAATAGATCTTTTTGTAAATTTATTTAGATGAATTAAAATAAATACGAAAAGATGAAATCAAATCAGTCTTCAAGCGATAATCATTAAAAGATTGATTTAATTTTATAATAACCTGTAAATAATATAGTAAATAATCAATGTATTTTTTATTGAATTATAAATTAGGAATTTAAAAAAATATAATTTTATATTTCTCATATAATAAATTATTGGCTTATCATTCGTCAAATTTACGATTATTTTTATTTCTGTTCCTAAAGAATTAAATGTCACTACTCAGATATATTAAGTAAAAGTATAAATTACAATAATAAAGAAACTAAAAATTAGTATATAAAAAATAAATTAGTATATAAAATATTATTATATTATATTAAATTAGTTAGTACAGTATGTTTGCTTTTGCTTATCTCTTTTGATTAATAAATCGCATTATGCACAAATGCAACTTTGCTCTATAAAAACAGCATTTACGCATTATGCGATTAATCAAACAATGAATTAAAAAACTTGTCTTACACAAATAAATGATAAATAATTGACTTATCTTTTGTCTTCTACGTATCTCGAAATCGTCTGGAAAAATATCGATATAAGCAAATGGACCTAATCAAACTTTCCATATTGGATAATAACTATGAGACGTATAATATACGCAAAAACTTCCAAATATCTTCTAAATATGAAAAATATAAAATTTTAAAATAAATGACATATGTTTAATATTTTAATGTATTTTTAAGATTATTTATCCATGTATTGTCAATAAAATATAAACAATTTTTTTTATCTTTGTATGAATTTATTATTGATGCTTTTATTTAGGAAAATTGGTTTATCTCAATGCATTATCAACTATTCGAGGGAGTAAAAGATATAAAATCTTTTTAATCCCTACTGGTAACGTCAACTCTTTTTTGTTTATTTAAATATATTAAATGATAAATTGATTAAAATTATACTGTACTACAAATATTATATTGTTACACGAATATGAAAAACTTAACATATTTGTTTTTGGCCGAATATATTATAAATAATTGAATTATTATTTCTATTTAGTTCATTAATAATCGTGCTAACTAAACTAAACTAAAAAAATATTTTCCATAATTAAATTAAATTATTAAAATAAAGATTTTCAAGAAATTTTACTTGCCTCGCGAAGGCATCCATGTTGCAAAGATATGACCGAATAACGGACGATATACTCGGTATCTTATTAATAAGACGCACATATTCTCCATTTTCGTGAAAAATATAATATCATAATAGTATAAGAAGAAAACACAGTAACAGTAAAATAACCATTATTTACGATTCAAAATATAAAATTCTTTTCGCTTTATATCTTCTTTTAATATTTGAACGTTAAAAATTATTGATGTTTTATAATATAATATATGTTGTAATAAAAAATATAAGGTTATATGTCATTATTGTTATACCTAAACAAAATCAAATAGTGGAAAATTTATACCAAGTTTCAAACAATTTATGTAAGACAGATGTATATGTACATATTCACTTACCTTATATAATTTATATGTTGTAAAATACAAACATATTTTATAAAAACTTAAATTATTTTTATATATGATTATATATAGTGATACATTATGCAATATGTTTATAATATTTATTTTATTTAAAAATATTACTTAAATATAAAATTATAATATAATTTTACTTTTAGTTCTTTCTTCTAAATTATTAATTAATTAATTATTAATATTTATTCTTTAAATCTTATTAGATAAGTAAACATATATTTTTATATATTTTACTTTGTTTAGAATAATTTCGTTTATGTTATATTAATTTTATTTTAATTTGTACTTTATTTTTATTTGTACGTGGAATTTTAAATTTTGCTGAAATATTTAAACTTTGACCAGATCTGAAAATAATTTTATTACGCCACTAATACGTTTGTAACATATCTTGCATTATCATCATATTTAACATTGCACATAATAATTCTAGTAACCCAACAAAATTACTTTCAGATTTGTATACATATAATTAAGTTTTTAGATACTTAAGAGGAATCATTCTTTCCGTGTAAATAAAAATATTGCATTTTTACAACTAAAGAACATTTTATGAAAATATATTGTTTTTTTAATATACAAACTACATTTTGTTGATATTTAAATAAAAAGATATTCTAATAATAATACAATATTTTAATAATACAATATTATTATTTATAATTAAAATAATATTTATACACAGAAAGAACAATTTTATTCTAGGATCTAGAATATGGCTTGATTTGAAAAATAATTTTATTGGGCTATCAAGATTGTTAATAGGACATATAATAATAATTATAAAAGATAAACATGATTAATTCTAAAAATTAAACATGATGATAATTCTTCAAAATTTTATATTTGAACAATTAATTTGAACGTCTTATACAATTATTTTGATGGTACAACGGAATTATTTTTCAGATTCATATCCAGCAAAATTGTTTTTCCGTGTTTTTTTAAACTTATTTTTTTTTATAAGTCTAATTATTCTTGTATAATTTTTAAAAGCTGTTATATATAAGAAAAATGCTTATACAGATTGTATATCCTGTGAAATTTGATGTACACACAAATTACGCTGTAATTAAAGAAAAGTTTTAAATTACCTTCAATCTTCTTTCTTATCTTCAACAATTATTTACCTTCTGACAGAAGATACAATAAAGAATAGAAAGAATTTATTAAATCTTATAAAACAATATTTTTAAATTAATATTGACTTTATTTTAATATTTTTAGGTTTTTAAAAAATCTTATAAAGAATCTTATAAAGACATACAGATCTTAGATATATAATATATTATATAATTATTTTTAAAAATTAATTTTAAAAACGATTTTAATTGTATTTCTAAAATTGTAATTGATGAGATTATATCTAACGAAACGTTGAACAATTTCATGTACTGATCATAATAGAATCACTGTCATTATCTCACTGAAATATACATATGAAATAATCTCTTATATAAATTCTATATAATAATTACTTGAACAGTGTAATATAACTATAAACACATTATTGCGAAGACACATGTCATTTTTCGATTAATATCTAGAT